TGTTTTTTTTCTTTGATTTTCTCAATAAATATAGACTCAGTACCCAGTTATATGCAAATGGAAGTGATTGAGATTCAGTGCGACTCAAATTTGAAGGCAAAATTCATTGAAATGGATGTGCCTGAATTTCACGAATATTTACTGGCAAGGTTTGAAAATACTCGAAAATTCGCGTATGAAATTATTTCCAAGGCAATTATTTTCTGTTATGAACGGAAATAAATCTCCTGTCCGAAACCGTATTAATAGCGCTCACATTGGGTCAATTTTGAAATTAGTCTCGGCCAATAAAATTTCTCCAGAAATAGAAAAGATAACAGCAGAGAAGAGATGTCAAGTATCAGGACGTAAACAATAATTTAACTTTATATATGCTTATTACAATTCAAAATAAAAATATTTGTTTCTATGAACATCGATTTTTTTTTTTGCGGCCCACCTGAAGTTAAGCATTGTTTATTTGCCCCAAGTTAGTTTTTGAGTTTGACACCCCTGCCGTACACTTTCCTACACACCTCAGTAATTTAAAGTTTCTAAGCCATGGGAGCTCGATCGCATCTCAACCGGGTGACCGGGGTTCGATGGCTGGGATTTTGCATCAGGCTCGCACCGACCACAGTGCTGAGATGAAATATCATCAGTGGTAGACAGTTAAGAGTTCACTTGCCGTTAGGCTAATCATGGAAATTTTGGGTGGTTTACCTCTCCATGTCACGCAAATACGAAATTTCTCTCAATACTTGATCCAGGAGTTCCCTTGTCTTCTGGATTAGGTTCAAAATGACAAGACTACGGAGTTGAACATTGGTAGTCGTAAACTCAAAATTGGGTCGGCTGTTCAACAACGGTTATAAAATGTGAAGTCTTATAATTTTTGAGGAACAAAGCGAAATATAACATAAAGTGGAACACCCAAAACAATTATGACACGAATTTTTAATATAAAGAGAAAAATAATGAAAAAAGATGATGCCACTGTAACAAATGTCTCATCTGTTTGCAATTATATTTTTGACCCCAATGTGTTTCATAATATTCTTAAAACAGAAATGTATAACCATGAACTGCTGAAATATTTAATATCAAAATATAATAATTTTATTCATAGGTTCTTAAAAACTGAGAATGATAAAGAGATTTATTATTTTAAAAAAGCAATCACATTAAAGGTTAAGAAATCTCTCCATACATTTTAGTAATTATTTTATCACGTTTCTATTATCTATGATTTCGTATCTATGACATAGGAATTTTTGCAATTGAAATTTCGGTCACTAGTACTTATAGATCTCTACTTGAGCTCCATGCCTGATGACAGCAGCAATGATTACCTAGTCGATACAAGTGTAATTTACCTTCTGACCAGCTAACATCGCACCTGAAGTCCCTAAAGACCAAGTTTCAATCACTTCCAAACACTAAGAATATCTTATTATATTTTATAACCTGCTTTGAACAGCTGACTCATTCATGGATTTTTTAATTCCGCACTCTTGTAATTTTGAACCCAACCCAGTAGACAAGTGCAATCCTGGATTAAACACTGGGACAAATTACTTTTGAACTCTTTGGTGCTTTGGTGGAACTAATCCACAGTTGCGTTACATGGGGAGGAAAGTCTTCAATGGATACAGTAAAGTTAACCTAACCCATAATCCGTCTACAACTAAGGATATTTTACGTCAGCACTAGGGTCGGTGCCTGCCGGGATTCGCATTTACCAACCATCGCTAGGATTCGAACCTGCGTCACCGCATTTTTAAAGCTCTAACTTCCGATCCACCACAGCTCCAGCAGAATTAATCGACATTTTCGAGAATTTATCGCCAAACAAAATTTTGACCACTTTCTGAAAACACTCAAATTTGAATGAAATAATTCCTTACGGTGACAAGAAAATTTATTTTAATGGCAAATATCACGAATTTTGACCAGTTTTAACAGTTTCCACAAAAAAATAGAAATTGGGAAGCAATAAATTTCTCACAAAGTTTTAGCAGCATAATATTACTTTCTCCTTTTTAGTCTATACTTTTAAAAAAAGTAGATTTTAAATTTTTAACTTCATTTTATTTTTTAACAATACGAATTCATCATTTAAAAGTAGCAATATAATAAAAAGAAGAAGAAAAGAAACGGCCGTTGATCATGAAATATTTTACTTTTGAAAATTTAAATAAATCTTCAAATTTCGGTTGTTTTAAAAAACTTATAATTCTTTATAAAATTAAAATTGTCCGAGAGTTAAAAAAAAGATTAAACGGAAAACAAAATCTTTTGTTTATATTCATACCTATTTTCATCTAAAAGTTACGTTTTGTATATATTTGTTTCATTAATCATTTAAGAATATTTTCAACTCTGATGACAATTAGTTGGTATCTCATATTGTTTATAAATGAAATATTATGATAAATAAAGTATAGTTTCTTTGATGAAATATTAATTAACTTTTAAGACATCCTAAGTAGTAGAAAGGGAGATCAAAATCTTCTTTATTTTATTTTGTACTACAAACGATCCGTATATTTATAATATATTTTTATTCTTCATGATTTTCTTCGCCAACTTTAATGTCTCAAATACTAAGAAAGATAAACGACGAGAACTTTGGATTGATCGCCGTTGTTTGATTTGACTCTTTTTTCAGGATATTTAAAAAACTATATTTATCCCCCCCCCCAACCTTCAGCATTACCTAATAATTTAAATTCCCAAGTTGAAGAGTTTCTTGTCAAAAAGGTTATGGCGAATAATTTTCGAAATAAAAAATGAATTTTTTCAGAAAAATCACCGTGTACTGCTTCCCAAGAAAAATTGCTGTCCACATATTAAAACGTTTCATGAAAACATGGAAAGCGACGACTTTGAAGCAATTTTCCGAATAGAAAAATTGATTGATTAGCAATTTCGAAAACGATGTCGACATGTCATGATGGCAGAGTTTTTTTTATTAGGTTGTTAAAAAGTTCCGCAACACCCTTGTTGAAAAATCTCGTTTATAGCAATAACGAATCGAAACCCGAAGTTCCAATCATCTAGATCTCTCTTATTGATGAAAGTTTAAATAAACTAAGAACATTCAAAAACAACAAAACAAAATGAAAATTCCTAAAAGTTTAAATATTCGAAGAGTTGCAGAACCCTTTTAACAACCTGACAATAAACTCTATTCATGTAAGTTTATTGTAAACGAATTTTTTTTTTTTTTTTTTTTTTTTGAATGCATAATTATGTTTGCGTTGTTTTTAAAAGTAAAATTATCGTTTCTGAATTTAGATCAATTGTCCCATTCATACAAATATCTTTATTAGTACTCATTCTGATATTTCATGACTCAACGTCTTCGAATACTATTTAAGAATTTTTTTTTCCTACTTTTTAGAACACATTTGGTTCTGAACTTGTTATCTCGTAACTTGTTAACTCGTAAACTCACTATCTCGAAGTTTTGTAAGCGTCTCTGCAACTTTGAGATATCGAGAGTATCTTGTATTTTTAAATAAAAATCCCTACCCAAGGAAGATCTCTTTCCGATTTCACAGAGAAGAGAAGTTATTTTTAAGAACCCCCGTTCTATAGATAGACCTCTAGACTGTTCCTTTTCTTACATCGTCAAGAATATTTGAAGAATAGTGAAGTGATCTAAAAGTTTAGTGCCACATCATACTTTTATGATAAGAAATATTTCTTTTTAAATATTAATTAAAATTTAAAAAAAAATACATCTCTATCCAGCATAAAAAGATAAAAACAGTTGTCATTGTAGTGGATTGAAGAATATATAAAATAAGTTCTGCAAATTATTTCTCTGTCGTATGAAATATTTCAATTATGATACAAGTAACTTAATATCGTTAACTGAAGTTATCATAAACTATTTGTAATGTTGAATGACTGTTCTACAATCATTAAACGGTAAAAAATTAATTTTTTGTGACCATTACAATAATTATTTAAAACTGAAATGAAATACTAGGAATTGATTTTTTCCATTTTTTCCTTACAGAAACACTCAACTAGTTTTCTTAGTAACCAAAAATGAAAAGGGAAAAAAAAGTTTTATGAATTTGAAATGTTAAGCAAGCAAAGTGATATGATTTAAATTTTATTTTATTAAAATCCGGAACTAAATTTGAGTTATTAGAATGGAGAATTTTGTAATCTTTTTACCCTTTGTCGAAATGGGACACTTTTATAGATTTTTTTCTGGCTCTTTAATTGCAAGTAAAAGAATATTTTTTAATTATTAAAAAATAAACAGTCTAATAGTTTCTAAAAAAATCTATTAGATTCTAGAAATTATATTTGTACTTAAAACAATAAAATCCACAAAATAAAAAGTAGTTTGAAATTTTGTTCCATTCATACTCAAAAATTTATCAATGATTAATTGCTTAAATTTAAGAAAAAATTTATGATGAATAACTGCTTCTCTAAATAATTGCAAATTTGAAAAATTATTGTTTGGAAGTGATCCATGTTTTTAGCATTAACGCACCCGTGTCCGATGCTGTATTTTATAACCAAAAATTATTAAATGCCAAATATAATATTTTTCACTTATTTTGTACAAAATAATGAAATAACAAAAGAAGAAAAATTTGCACGAAATAATGAAAATTCTGCGTCAAAGGGTTAATAGAATTTAAATCGTTCCGAAACAAAAAATTATTGAAGTACTCCTTGGGGTTAACAGCGACTTGTAATTTGTATTTAAGAAAACACTTTGAAAAACATTTACATATTATTAAAGTAAATTATTCCGAAATTACTTACTAAAATATTTATTTCAGAAATAATAATTCGCAACTAGCAGTTATTCAAGAACACATTTATTGATACATTTTACCCATTTTTTGAAACTTATTCATTTTATTTTTCATTCTAAACAATAAAAGTAAAATGAACTTATCATTCCAGTTCATTTCTAACAATGAATTTATCTCAAAAATGATGATTCTTAAAAATTATCAACTGAATAAAAGGAATAAACTGACCGTTCGTAAAAACGAGACATCGTCCTGCTCGGAGCTTCCTTCAGCTTCAGCCATGTCGCAGGCTCACCGAAACGCTAAATCCTTTTAAATCTCACAACCCATCTGTGCAGACGATCTTCCCATCTGGAAGACCCCATCATTGGAACGAATCCAACGCCACCACCCTTATTTTACACTCTCAATTGATTAACGAAATGTCAGTTTTCATAAAAACTCTTTTTACTTATTTTTTTTTTTTAAATCTGTTTAAGAATGAAAAAAAAAATTATTATCAATGAGCAAAATGAAAAGGTAAACACGCAGAATAACTTTTGATCTAATAACCAGATTTTTTTTCTTTTTTTTTAACTAACATGACATTATAACAGTTCGAGTGCTTAACTCTAAATATGTAAATTATTTTAAGCAGACGATAAAGGAGATATTTAACCCTTCTATATGAAATGAGATGAAAGTTCGAGAGAATATAATTCTTTTAATAAAAGTTATCTTTTTATTTTCCTTACAGATTTCGAATAAAGAGAACATCTCAGGCTAATGCAGTAGAATGAGAGATTTGCGTCATCGGGAGAAAAAAAAAACGATTCTTGAAATGCGATTTTACTATTTTAATTTGCTCAAAAATATTTCATTAACTTTTGTATAAACTGTAATGAGTTATCGAATGATCACTTGTGAGCACAATTCAAATCTATCAATTATATATGAAATATTTTGTAAAATAATATTATACTGCATAAAACCCATGATGTTTTTTGTGACATAGTTTTTATGTTTCGTAATAGAGCTGTGTGTATTAAGGAGAATTTTTAGAGTAATAAATAAATATCAATTATTTTTGGATATCCTCGGGCGTTTAATATTTCCGACTCAAAAATAGCCGAAAATGGGTCAAATTTTTGCGTTTTAGTACCCTTTACTTGTAATTTGTGTCGTTTTTTTTCTTCTTTTCGTTTGCTAGGATTAAGAAAATAAAACCCAACAATCCATCGGGAAAACCGAACAAGTTTTATTTTCACTATACCATTTTGAAAGATTAACAAAATTAGAAATCTTGATTATTACTATTTCCGCAAATTGCGCCTCTCCAAGATATTTTTTCTACGTGCAAGAAGTTTTCTACGTAACTCCATGACATTTGTGCTAGGGTCCTGAAATTCGGAATTTGGTTGCAAGCGGCAATCCTAAAAATCGTTCGAAAATTTCCAAATAATTTCTTCTATTAGGAAGTTTGAAAAAAAAAAGGGAATTTTTCTCATTGACTAAATATTGAAATATAAACAATTATATGGAATTAATAAACAAACCAGTTTTTTTAATATAACACGATAGCTTAGTTTAATCACGTGAGGGTTAGGAGACGTTATCTGAAAGCACATGTAGGGGGGGGGGGCGGATTAAGCAAACTAAGCACGTTACCTAAGGGAGCACTACAAAGCATTAATGAAAAAACATTTTTTTTTTTTGCACATTTTAATTCGATTGTAAATTTAAACCGTTCATGGTTTAAATTAAATTGCTATCGTGTAATATTTATTTCAGTCCCGCGGACACAAAAAAAAATATTATGTATTGATATCTTAAAAGCATATTAAATATAGATATCAATTATTTTGAATATAATGTTTTCATTGAATATGAATTTTTTAAATTGTGTTTTCAATTTTATAAAAGTAGATATAATTTTGGCTCTTTTGGATAATGTTTTTTGAAGTTATACTTCTTATGCGACTTCCAACAAGGTTGCGTTAAACGTTTAAAGCTACATTTTTATTGGCCGGAAAATCACGTGGTAGGATCCAGTTTTCCCTCATTCATTTCCATATTGTTTTGGTTCTCACTAGCATAAAAATAATAAAAGTCATAAAAGTATTGTTTTTCTATAAATATTTTTTTAGTTTGTTTTGATACACATATAATTTAATAGGGTAGTATTTTTTATTTTCAAATTTAGTGGATAACAATTGTAAAAAATGAGTGAAAACAATCCCACGGACAATGCGACGGATTTAAGGTTATGTCAAGGTACGTCTCTTGTGAATATCAATTGATTGTTAGGTTTTCTCTTCTGAAATTACATTATGACGCATTCACATACATTATTAATACAAATACATTTTCCAGGGCGAGACGACGAGGCCACCACAAACACTTCCACTGGTTCAAGATGCACAATATTACCGTTATTACAGAGCACGGAAGCTAGGGGAGCAGGAAAAAGAGTCGTTGAATAGAACTAGTGATCCTTTTACGACTGCTGATTCTTCTACAATTAACGTCGCAGGTTACGAAGTTTAACTTCTTCCGCGCGGAGGGACTCCACGCACTATTTTTTCTTTAATAAAAAATATAATTAATAACCTTAATATTTTATTTGACATGCTGAACTTATCGTTAAATCTAATGAAAGATGGGCTTGCTTTGTGTTGGTATAAGTACTAAATAAAAATAATTACAACTTACAATAAAAAATAATTCAGTTAATCAGTGACTTTTAGCAAAAATCACTAATTTCAATTGTTTTGTAGTTTTATATTTTGCTTTAATTTATAGATGAGTAAACCTTATCTTAGAAAAATAATCTTCAATTGCCTGCCTTGAAATTTCTTAGAATGTTTCTCTTGAATCATTCTGTTCAATACATTCTTTTTTATTGTTAGGACCACTCTTCAGTAATTTAATTTCGAAATAATTTGTAAGGGGCCCGAAAAATTGGGTGGGCCTGACTTTGTCTTGATCGGTCCTTGGTTGGGAGGGAAAATAATAAAAGAGAGTTTGATTGATTGATAAATTTTTTTCAAAAAGCAATTGCATGATTATTTTAGAGATTTCAGAGTGCGACTAGATGTTTTGTTTATTTCATGTTCAAGGAGCCTTAGTTTGATATATACTGTGCTCAAAATAAAATGCGAACGCTCAAAATAACTTTTGATCTAATCAAACGAACGAATTTTCACATACTCAATCTTAAGAGTTGGAGAATTTTATATGTTAATGAATAATGCTGACGATTTTTTAAGTTGTGAAATCAGTCACAAAAAAATACTCTCTCAGAATAAACATATTTTTTTTTTAAAAAATTTCGACAAATTTGGTTTTTTGACCCTCAAAGTGTGGGAAAGGGTTAGCCGCATTTTGGAAAATAGGGTCCCCAATAATTTATACAAGAGAGCGATTAAAAGTTTTGAAACCTTCAAGGTAATTTCACTATTTACGTATTTCGCTTTATCTCTGGAAATTGGTGTTCGAATCAAACCGTTTCGGCACATAATTATAAAATGCATGTATCGAATAAAATTCAATGTAAAATAATAATTATTATAATTTATTTTATCGAGTGAAGGAACTGTAAAGTATTTTATTGTTAAGTATGTCAAACACAAAATTGAAATGAAATTGGTTCTCGAGAAATCAAGTTTATAATTTATTAACGCGAAAATAATTTCATCTACTTCGTTCAAATTTTATATTTGAAAATGACATACTTTAAAATGGCGTCAAAATGTGTATGCATTACAATTCAAAAATGTTCCGAGTATTTTTAGAAAAAATAATTAATAATTATTAAAAAAAAAGTTTAATGAAATTATCTTTAGATGAATGAATTTTATAATTGTGTACAAAAACTTTTTGATTCACTTAAAAATTTCTCCCCTGCATTAGTGAAATGTTCAAAAAGTGAGATTAACATATTAAGATCCAAACTTTGGACTGCCCTCTTGCCTAAACTATTGCTAACCTATTTTCCAGATGGAGGCTAGCTAACATCCACATTTTGAGAGTCAGAATTTCAAATTCCCGGAAATAAGATATGTTTATTCAGAGAAAGTATGTTTTGTGTCTTCTTTCACAATTAATTATACCATTAAAATATCGTCTGCATCAATTAGCACATTTAAGATTTGACTTTTGAATCTAACTTTTTAGAACTAACTTTTGAGTTTATAAGAACTAAACACGTTTTTGATGTTTGCAAGAGCTTGTTTTTTCAGTTGGCACATCCATGCTTTCCTACTTGAGAAGTTGTATATTAAGTTTCGAAATTTGTGTTGATATTTCTCTTAAAATTTTGTAGTATTGTTCAGCATTGATTAATTGATGCTGATTCCCTTCATATGAAGAGTGGGTATTCAGCTAGTTAATTAATAAAATAACACTAAATAAATAATAATTATCGTCCCACTCAATTTTTAAAAAAAAATTCAAGGACTTTTCAATGACTTTCAAGGACCTAAAATCAAATTTTTCAAGGTCCTATTCGGTATTATTGTTATATGCTAAAGTACTACATGTCAACCAGATTTTACAATTACGTTGAAGCAGAAATTGTATATTTTTAAATCACAATGCTTTTTTGACAAAAAAAAATTATTTATCAAATTTATCAGCTAATAATACAAATGGTTGATAGTTACATTGTTTCAAATCTCTTTGAAAAATTCTAATTGACAAAAAAGAAGAAAAAAAGTCAATTGCCATAGGGTACTAGCCAGCATTTAAAACTAGCATTGGTGAAACTTTTCATGAAAAATTTAATGAAGTGAATTAGAATTAATGAAACTGAATGAATGTATAATGCATATTACATTAAACAACCATAGTAAATAATTGATAAAGTTTGTGTAATTGCAGTTATTGATATATAAATACTATTTTTAACATGTTAGATCCAACTTTAGGTTACAAGAAATGTATATAATTAGATAAATTATCAAAATATATTCATTTAACATACCTGTTTCTCCATTTAACATAACATATCTGTTGTTAATATCAAATTTTCTATTTTTTTTACATCAGAATATCAGTAATGTATTTTGAACATAATAAAATCAATTGTAGAACAATATTTTACAGGTAGCTAAATAAGACTTACCAAGCTTTATTTTCTTTGAAATATATCCATAAAATGTGAAGCGAGATCATAATTTTCACTAAGTGTAATTTTTAAATCGCATTTATACGTATCTAGATACATTATATGATGCCCGATGGCTGACTGGTAGCACTTCACGCTTCTGTGCCACAGATCCTGGGTTCGATCCTCTGGCCGGGCAAGGTAGACTTAGTCTTTCATACCTTCAGTGGGTTGATAAATGAGTGCCAAGCATGCTTGGGAACTAAACACTGGGGGTTTCACGCTCGGCTGATCAACGAACTGGAACGTCTGTTCCTGTACCCCAGAAAACTGAGATGTGCACAGTAGGCCTTGACCCTCTATGGGCTGTCGCGCCACTGAGTTTAGTTTAGTTTTAGATATACTAAATGTAAATCAAAATTATAAGAAAGGTGAAGTAAGTCTTGATGATTGCATAAATCACATATCACAATGTGTGATTTATAAATTGAATTGCGGCGTATGGTTTTTAAATCGAAATAATACGAATAGCAAATGATACAAAAAGCACGAACTAACAAGACATAAATCACAATGTGAGATACATAAATCACTTTAATGTGAATTCTGTTGCACGATTAGCTAATAGTTTTCATGTGAATAGTGATCATTATGATGCAAATTGCAATTTGTGATTCGAAAGGTGCTTAATATAGAACAGCAATGTGTGATTCTTAAATCATTTTGATGAGAATTGTGGGTGGTAATTCTTAAATCTCTCTTTTGTGAATCGCAATGCACGATTCTGAAATTAGTTAAATACGCATCACATTATATATTTCAAAAATAACTTTAATTGAAATCATGATATGTGAATGATAAATCACTTAATGTCAATCATGGATGCGTGATTTATAAAATACCTTAATATGAATTCTGATGAGTAATTTGAAAATCACTTCAAAGTAATATTCAATATGTGATTTAGTAATCACTTTCAGTTAAACCGCAATTCGTAGAACATTTTATATGAATTCTGATCCGTAAATCAAGAACTAGTTTAATGTGAATCACAATGTTTATTCATAATCACTGAAACCTGTAGAACTAAATTTTATTTATTAGCAATAAAAACTAAATGTAAAAATTCGATTATAAATGATAAAAAATTACTTACCCTTCGCACGTAAATTAAAAGAACAAATAGGATAACAATATTAACCTGTCGTAATAATGAACTTAACACATTGAACATATTTCTAAATCAATTAAACTCTATAGATCATTCGAAAACTATGACTACAAAACCTAAAATTTGCCAGAAATTTCAGCTTTCAAAACATCAGAGAATTGATCAATAATCTGGTGTGAAAAATCTAGGAGAGAAAAGTTTTGAATCTTCTTTAACCCATTTCACTTCAAGCAGTAAAAATTGCATCAATCAGAGTTTCTATAATTTTTTTTGAATTTATTTACTATTTTTTTAGTAATTTTTTGTAAGAAAAATCAGTAGTATTTTAATTCCAAAAAAATCAAGTACTTTCAAGTACCCTATGGCTCCAAATACTACACTGCAATGCCTGTAAACCTTCAAGCCTGTATACCTAAGCCATCAAAATCTTAAGTAATTCCTATCAGTAAGTCCGATTTGTAAGAACGCTTTACGTATGTCTGAAACGACACCAATTCTCTCAGTCCTAAACCGCATCAAAATGCTTGGTATCAATTCAATAAGATTTTCACTCTACTCTAAGCAATCATTTAAACTTGGAAAACCTTTGGCTGAAGCATCAAATATTTGGTTTTATAACTGCACGATGAGGTAGGTAGTGTACATTTTCCTCACAATTATCCTTTACTTTTTCTATTATTCCCTCCATTCATCAAAAACTTGCTCATACTCTCATACTTGCTCATACATTCCTGCTCCTTCGTCACACGAATTCTCCCCCTCTTCAGTGGGCGTAATCCTTAATCAATCTGTCAAAATTGGAGGGGTGAAGAACTAAGATGAAGCTTGGAGAGGGGTGCTAGAGGATTATCCTTTATCGCCTCGTATTTGCAAATTATTTATAACAAGCTGATTAGTAGAGGAAATCACGTGCTTTTTTTAAAGTTATTATCTTAAAATTTCAAAAATTTATTCTTGATTTAAGTTTAAATTAGGCCTTAAATTTCAGAAAATTTATCAAAAATGAAATAAAATAATTCTATATTTATCACTTAATATAAATGGTGTTTTAAAAATCATACATTTCCATGAATTATAACTTAATGTTAGTTAATAATTTTAGTTTGCAGTTATTTAATTAAATTTATGTTATGTTATTAATGTTCAGTTATTAATTATTATTAATTTCTTATAAACATTGCGTAATGTTTCTTAAATATAAGTTCTCAAAGGTTTTAATGTTGGTTCCAATTTTTCCTTGGTTTACATTTATGCGCATTTTAATTTTTCTTAGTTATGATACTCAATTTATACCAGTTTTTTCATTATTTCGATTGTAACTTAATGATGTTAATGCTAAGTTCTCCTAATTGTAGTTATTTAGTTTAATTTACGTACAATGCAAATTTTTATTAATTATAGTTATTTTTTATTAACATTTTGTAAAAAAATTTTAGGAAAATTTTCAATTTTTTAAATGTCAAAAGTTTTCATTATTTTGATGTCATGTCATTTAAACTTATTTTTTATCTCTATCATCTATATTTATTTATTCGCTAATTTACAATTATACTACTGTTTTATTAAAAATATATTTTGTGAATATTTGGATTATATTTGATTTTTTATTATTTTTCAATCATGGCTATGCGTGGAAATTTAACTGTAGCATAACTCTTATACGAATAATTTCGTAATCTCTTCTTAAAGAAGTAAATGTTAGGGAAATCTGTTTTTAACGGTTAACAAAATGTATTAATAATTATAATAAGTACACATGGAAATCGAGAAAAAAGGTTATATATTAATTTATTTAAATCGAAAGCCTTATCTCTTTACAGGAAGGGTTTATAAAATGAAAAATTATGCTCAGGCTTTCAATAGTTGCGCAATGAGTGGCTATCTGGTCACTCACATTAGTGTTTTAACGAGATTATGCTGAAATAAAACCGCAATTCTTTTTTAAGGAACTTAATCTTTTTGAGGAAGCTAAATTGTATCGATTCCTAGTTGTTTTAGTTTTTCCTACACAATTTAGTTTTTTCAACCAAATAAAATATGGCGCTTAGAAAACTCTTTGAAATCATCATCTTCAAAAGAAAAAAGAATTATATTTTTGACACAAAATGTTGGAAAGAGTTCAATTTCTGCCATAAGATACTTCTATCAAGACAACTATTCATTAATCCAACTTACTTTGTTGTTTTGTGGTAAGAGCTTGAAAATATTTTCCCTTTAATATCATCTATCAGAGACTGTCCTGAAAATTTTACCCTGTAACATGAAAAGATGGTATAGCACAATTTAAACAGAAGTAATAAAAAAATACTGATAAAAAGTAAAAAGATTTTATTCAAGGCCAATATGAATATTTACAAACACATTTTAGTTTTTTCAACCAAATATGGCGCTTAGAAAACTCTTTTAAGTCATCATCTTCAAAAATTATCTAAAAAGAAAAAATATATTTTTAACACAAAATGTTGGGAAACTAAGATCTTAAATTAATTGAAGGTATTGATATTGTCATGAAATAGAACAATGAAACATTACAAGATAATTGTAAAAAAATGTTTCAAAATTTTTTTTCTTTTTATAGGGTGCGTAACCAAATCTTCCAACAAAAAATAAGCACATTTTAAGTACTTTTTAAGCACTATATACATTAACAAAATAGCTTTCAAAGACTTTACATGATCATGATAAAATAGATTTAAGTTTCATTGATGAAATAGGACTAAGTTTCTGATAAAAATAAAAAACGCTGACAAAGAACTCTTTTCTTGATTATATAAACCACCATAAAAAGATGGAGAGATTTTTCGGTTTGATTTCAGAGGGTGGAAAATGAAGCCTGCAATTGGGAATCTTTTGCCAATTGCAGCTGAGTTGCACATAAGAGTGCAAGAATCTCACTGAACCTAGCTCACTATACGCACATGTTGACCTGCAAGTATTTCATCAAACATGTAAAATGATTGTCACCTTCACACGCTACGGACCGAAGATACGCCGAAATTTATGTGTTAGATTGAACTGTGAAAAAGTTTAATAGAACAATGTGAAGACCATGGCTTTGCATCTGTGGTGGAAATCGACATGGTAAATAAAAAAATCTCATTTTCGAAAAGCGAAAATTAAGCCCTTTTTAAAAATACCCAATGAAAAAAAGCACCTTTAAGGGCTTTAAAAAAAACGAAAATCGAAAGCACTCCTTAAAAACGCTATGCACCATGTTTTACAAACAAAAAGGGAAAAAAGTAGTAAAATTTAGTATATTTTTGCCAGGTTTGGCAAGTGGCTGACGGTTACAACGATAGAGGAAGGGGGAAGAGATGGTTTGACAATCTAAAAAGATTGCAATTAATTATCTTGAAAAGTTTGCTTTGATACAAATCAATTTTTGTCTATTTGAAATTGTCACTTTTCTATAGTATTGCAGTAAAATATTTGGATTAAATCCATATTTAGAAAGTTTTAAATAAAAACTAATGACTCACAGGAGAGTGGGGCAACTTTCTCGCAAATCGAGTCAATTTAACAATTCCTTGTTCTAATTATAAGGTCAATTGTTGTTATAAACATTATGCATAATTTTCCCATCGTTTGTATTTAAATGATTTCATACTTCTAAAGAACACCTAGCTTATACCGAAAACAAATTCAAAAGTAGTCTAAATACCACTCCAGATATGAGAATTGAAGTGTTTGACATAAAACTAGCCTTTTATTGGTAAAACGATAACTGAATAAATTCCAATCTTCACAATTAATATAATAAAAATGAGTTGTTTATTATTTTTTTTGGTTAGTATACTCATAGCTACTAATAGAGGCTGGGATAGCCTGGTTTGTAGGGTGTTGGGCCATGTCCAAAAGGTCGTGACCTTGACACTCCCCGCCCTCCGAAGACTTTCCGAGTAGTAAATGGTGATGGGTGCACCTTAAATCTGCAGGGACACGAAGCCCTCCAGGTTCCCATTAACAAATCACACCTCGGGGGGGGGGGGGGNGGGGGTCGGGGGTACTGAATTAGAAATTGATCGTTCTCTGGTTCAGGCCAAAATTACAATCTGTAGATAAATGAGTGGATGCATAAAAGGGTACGTCCTGTTAATGGGCTGTGACGTATGCAGTGGCTGAAGTCGTATTCTGGGCCATAGATGATGCCATTGAAAAACAAGAAACGCACCTTCTGCCTTAAATTTGGTTGGTTTTTCAGAGCAGACTTGCTGGTATTGGCAAGTGGCATCAGAAACAACAGCTAATTTTATTCATAAACTCTGGGTATTCATAAACTTGGAGTCAGTTCCACCGCAAGAGGCTACACAGTTATGATTCCTTAGCCATAAAAAATTGAGAACCCCTGCCTCAGACAATACTTAATGACAAGTATTCGATTACGAATCGTTGTGGCTCAGAGGTTAGAGCACTCGCCTCCCAATACCGTAAACCCAGGTTCGAATCTCAGTGATGGCAGGTTGTTATGAATTCTGCGTCAACCTTGCAATGACTAGAGTGCTGATGCAAAAATATCACCAGAGGTCGATGGATCATGGGTTAGAGTCCTCTTGCTGTAACCGTGTGAGGTTTGCATGTTTTTTTCACTTCTCCTCCAGCGTTTCTCCCAATGCTTGATCCAAGAGTTCCTTTGTCTTCTGGGTTGAATGTGAAAAATACGAAAAAAATTAAAACACACTTATTTTTTTTTGATTAAGTGGCTGCTTATTATTCACTGGAAGATAGTGAAATTGAAGAAGGAAATGCTATGTATTATTTTCATGACTATTAGTTATTTTTAATATTGCAGCCATAATAACTAGCTTCATTCCAAGTGCATTTTTTTTTAATCAAGTTATTTATTAATGAAAATCTTCAATCTAGTACCATGCTTTTCATTTTTAGAAAATATTTAAACTTTTCACACAATCGACAGTTGGTTCAGCTACCTTTGATATTACAATTATTACGTCTGAAGTCTTTTTCTTGTATTCAGGGTATCTTCTACATTTTTAGATTTTCGAATTCATGACTTTCCATGACTGATTCCAACAATTTTTCATGACTTGACGAAATTACTTTTTTCTCCGAGAAAAACACAACAATAAATTTAAAAAAGCACTATAATGAAATGATAGGTATAACCAAAACTGTTATACTTTGCATCTTTATATTTACAGATTTTAAATATAAAAAACAGAGTAAAGAAAGAGTTCAAGCAATAAAATAGCTCAAAAAAATACAAAAGCAAATAATTTTTTTCTTTCTTTTCTGCAGAATTATATTCTAGATACTTTTCTTGTTCATCGGAAAAGGAAGAAATACTCCTGATTTTTCTGTTCCAATTTCAGAATAAAAAAAATTCGCCAATGACTGGCTTGCATCAGCTAGAATTATAAATTTATAAAATAAAAAAATAATAATAAAAAAAAACAATAACTAAAATTTGGAAATCACAGAAGTATGTTACAAATTCAGATATTTGGAACACCATGAAATTGGGGAGGGGGGGAGTAAATTCCATTTTAAAAATTAGATTTTGGCGACCTAAATCCTTGATTTTTCTTTAAAAAAAATTTAGCTAAAATCATGACACACTTTGTTCAATACCGAAATTCATGACTTCAGGTGAGCAGATATCCTCACTCTTTCCGAACAATCAATGCTTATTCATTTATTCAGCAATAAATTTATACTTGTAATTCAATAAGTTCTGTGATTCTGATTTTATTTCTGGGTCATTAAAAAAGTTCTGCAACACTTGTGAAAATATCAACCTTTATGAATTTTATGTTTTTTAGTGTTCTTCTCAAGATGGTACAAGCGATTTGATTCAGGAGCTTTTAAGATCTGCCTCGCTCCGGTCAACCAAAATCAGACGAGTGTTTCGCGAGCGGCGATGGCTCAGGGGATAGAGCGTTTGCCCTCCAACGAGGTGAATCAGATCCGAATCCCAGCGACGGCTCGTCGAAACAAACTCTACATTCAGCCCGCATCGACCACAGTGTCGGCGTATAATGTCCTAAACGGTAGGCAGATCATGGGTTAGAGTCCTCTTGCCATCAGGCTATGAGCTATATTGGGCTAATTATATTTAGTTTTAATTGGTGGAAATACAGCTGAACATACTTAAATAATGCTATAGTAAATGAAATAGTTTAATATAGCTGAAATATTATGGTTAAATATCCCATAGATTACACTTGGTGTGTCAACATTATTTAAAAGACAAAAATAAGAAACAAAATTCCCAGTTTGTAAAGAACAATCAAATTTCCCTGTTATTCCGGTGATTTTTAAATTCCCCATATTTTTCAGGTTTTCTCTGTTCTCCCCCCCCCCCCTGTGGAGTGGCAACCCTTACGTTTCAATGAAAATGTCACATTTTATAAAATTTATATATATGATAGGCTTTATATAGAATGGGTAAAAATCACATGATGTTTGATTGTGAAATCCTGTGCTTTGATTTGCAAGGTGTTATTCAAAAAATCTTGCAAATATGAATCTCTGTGTTTAAGTTAAAACTTCAATACAAATTGTGATATTGAATTGAAAAGACACGTAAAAATAAATTGAGACACTGAATTTTAAAGATTCGTGAATACGAATCACGGCGTTAGATTACTAAATAGCTGGATGTTTCATTTTCAAAATGAGATATTTGATTTTTTAAAAATGTAGTGTAGAAAATCTTTCTTTAAGAATTTCTAGAATTGCAAAATTTAAGAATTTCCATGAGTGTACCTGCGCACATTATCTAACTCAAAGGTGTTTGGGGCTCAGTTTTGTTCGCTGGCCAATATTTGTTTGAAAGTATGAGGGGAGACTAAATTGAATCTGGAGAGTTGTATGTTTTGTTATTTTATGGTAACTTAATATAATTTGAAGGAATATGAAATCAAATCAAAATTTGTCAAATCATATTAAATTCCTAAAGCGAAAATAAGTTCAATGAATGAAGATTTATATAAGCAAACTTTCAGCACATAACTTATTTCTTCTTTCAATAAATGATTTTCGATGTAACAAGTTAATGATATAAAAAATTTCATGACATAATTAAATTTTATTACTTTTCTACAATAATGACATACATGCTAAATTTCAGAAAGGCCAGAAAGGAAACAGAATCAACAGGAATAACAATGTACACATGTCACCTTATTCTTTGATACGTTCTTAAATAAAAATGCTTCAATTATGTACATTGAAAAAAAAAATTTTATGCCACAAATATTGAAAATTGTTACCAAGTAGAAATTAGGATTTGAAATTGTAAATATGTTTTTGATCTAAATAGCACAAAATACATAGTGTAGTTGAAATTTCACTCAAAAAATATTTATAAATGAATTTTAAAAAAATGGTACATTGAAGATTAATATATCAGGGTTGCCACAGAAAAACTGAACAAAATAGTTGCTTCTAGTAGCTTAAAGCATGAAAATAGTTGCCTCAATAAGAATAAAAATTTTTCAATAATAAGACTAAAATTTTATTAAATGACTTCATTGTAATTGCATTTAGTCAAGTTGACGGCCATTATAATTTTTAAATAAACGTTAATGTTCTAGCACTAAATTTTTTATAAAAAAATTTTTATATTTGCAGAACATTAAATACTTTACATTATATATATAGAAAAAGTGATTTCAAAAATTTGAAATTCTCGCATCATAGTATCATATTAAAAATTAGGTTCTTTAAAATCATAGCAATAACAGTTGAAAAGGCGATTGAGAAGCAAAATAGATTCAGAATGGAATCTGTGCAAATTGAGAGCATTAAAAAGTGATTACTCAAATTTTCAATTCAATATTTTTTAAATTTTTAGGAAAAAAAATTCATTATGTTCAGAAGCTACCATGGACCGCAGGTTGTCGACCCAATTTATGCTAAAAACAACATTGCTATGAGAATAGAAAAGTCTGCTTTTCCTGAAAATAATTGCTCTTATAGGCAAAAAAAGTAGTCATAGGTTGAAAATAGTGACATTTTAGTCACCTGTGGTAACCCTGATATATTTTAAATAAAGTATAAAAGATTGCATTAAAATAAGAGTCCTGAACACAAAAGACATACCCAAATTAAATTATTCTCATTTCTTTCCAGACTTCTTGATACCACCAACACCTAGAAATATTTATATTAAATGTTTGGTTTTATTCAAAAGACTTTCATTCCAAAAGATATGTGTTATATTATATTACCAGCAAATTGATGTAGAAGTTACCAATATTATTAACACTAAACATACCAACACTTAATATCTACCATTATGAAAACACTCCTTACATTCTACCATTACTAGAAAGTTTTTCACATCGACTTGTTGAAAAAAATCACCATCTAAATATTATTCAATTAAGTATTATACAGAATTACCCATTAACAAAGATTTACCCATTTTTTAAAAATTTTTATCGTGAGTCAGTTTGGGTATAAATGCTTAGCAGTATTTGATTGCAAACATTAATGTATTATTTTAAATTGTGAATTCAATGGGATTCCTAGAAGAATATTTAGCGTGTGATTTGTTTAATTATTAATGTTTACTAAAAAAACTAGGTATTACAATACCCACATAAAATTTAAAAACTACAGTTGATTAGATTTTTTTAAATTTTATAGGAAATTCATTTAAATTGATCTTTTTAACTGCTGCTTTTTAATCTTCACTAATTGAAAAATGATATATTAAATAAATTAGAAATTAATATTATTTAAACAAGATTGCAATTACAAATTGTTAAAAAAAAATTTTGAACTCAAATTAAATGTTTCTTTTGGGGAAATTTTTCCTACTTTGGTTAGAAGAAACCCAAGCAACAATTTTACCTTGACTCCAGTTGGGCACAATATGGGTCCTATCGTGTACCAAGGAACCAATATTGGGATGTCTAGATTTTTTAATATGCGTCTTATATAGCCGTTATGGGGCCAATATTGGCTGATGACTTAATATAAAATATCAGGTGAATCACAGGACACAGGTAGGTACTTTATTTACGTCGAGCTAGAGTTGCACGATGGGCAATTGGCGAACAGTCTGGGAAACACCCCTTAGGATTATCTGAAAACATGCTGCCACCACAATTTTGAACCTCTACAGAGGGGATGGCTCCTCTGCTTTGATAGCCCGACGACCTGAGAGCAAAGTTGAGCACTTTATGTTAGAACAATTTAACGAGGACCGATACAGCACACCCTCGGTCTCTACGCAGGCTGATCAAAGTGGTCACAGAGGCTAGCCAGAACGGCCCACAAAGCTATCTCGGAGATGCCCATTGTTTATGCATCGATTCTTTTAATTCAAGCAAAAGAAAATGCAAAAATTATTTAAGTAGAGGTGGGAGATAGAGAAAGCGTTAATGGACTACACCAGTGGTTACCAACCTGGGGACAATCAGGGGGCGACGAGTACTCAAAAGATAAAAATTGCTAATAATATTAATAATAAAAGCTATTTGAGATTGAAATTGAAAATATGTATGAAACCTATGGTTCTGGTGTAGACAAAGAATTATAATAGTTAAAAATTTTAAAAATTCAAGTGCAGGATCGTTTTCGTCATACGTTATGGTATTGCAGGTGTAAATCTGATAAGTTACTCTGTTCCTCTGAGCAATAATACTGTTTCCAGGCGTATTGATTTTAAT